GCACCAGGATTCGGGGCACCAGGATTCGGGGCACCAGGATTCGGGGCCCCTGGAGTGGCGGTCGAGCGCTTTGTTCACTAGACCGTCGCGTCGTTATCTTTAATTTTCTGCTTAAAAGTGGAGATGGCATGTTCCACCGGTTTCTTATCTTTCCGGGGCAGCCTACTTCCTAGGAAAACTTACGACGGCGATCGGTCCAGCGGCTTCGACGTCGGGAATTTTGAGAAACGTTGAGTTACGCGAATCCCCGCCGGAAGTAGGTGGGAGTCAAGGATTGCAGGACGGGGCAATTCCAGCTGGTAGAAATATTACGCTTCGCACGGTCTAGTTGTACCGCATTGTTCGCCGGGTTCTTCGTTTGTCCGTTCTCATCGTTTCTCAACCCGTTTCGAACCCACCGCCCGCCCCGTCTTTCCCTCCGAATTTCCTTTCGTATTTGCTCGTGCGTCGTTGAGCTCGTCATCTTCGAACAAAAATTAGCCTGCTTTGTGGCTAATATCTCCACGAATCACGTTCCCTGCACCCTTCAAAGGACCGTAAAGAGCGAGCGAAAAAGGAAGTTCGTCTGGATCGAAGGCGAATAGGAGCGAGACGAGACGATCGCAAACCAACAAATTCGATGGAAGTGAAGCACTGTTTTCCTAGGAAGACAAAGTACCTATGGTTCCACGAAGCAGGGTGTTACAGCATAAGAATAGACTGATTTAGGATAAGATCAATTAGAACTAGATATCACGATAGGTTAAGGTAATAGTGGCTAAGGTAAAGTGCAAATATAAATAAGTAAACAGGCGCAGATTACGAAAAGAAAGTTTATTTTCATATGTAGGATGTGTCATCTTAGGTAAAAGAAATTCTGTGATACCAAAACAGTAAGGTATGAATTTCAAAATAAAACAACATCGTTATACGTAGCATGCAAGGAACAAACTTTTGTAAGCGACGAAAATGTAATAATTTTGTGACCAGATGTTAAAGAATGTTAAAAAGAATGTAGAAAAAGAACAGTGCGAATGCCAAGAGATATTCTGGCGCACTTAAATATACAACTGAAACTGAAACGAATTGTTACTCCATCCTACGGATTATCTTCTCAACACGATCGAAAATTTATGTATACAGTTTGTCTAAATTTAACGACAGTCTCGACGATTCCAAGTATGTAAGCTTTTCATTGTAAAATGTCAAATGTTCAGATTTCATATTGAAAACGTATTTTTATCAAAATAAAACATAACCTGTGTTACTCGGGGATAGTGTAGCTTCCTATTACCGAAAAAAT